AACTCTGCTATCAAAAAAATCAAGATAACCCAAGAACACTAAACACATTCACCTAAACACCTCTCATTTTCAATAAACCCTTTCAATTCAGCTTTACGAGGTCATAAAATCGTTGTTCAACATAAAAAACGAATCAATCGCTTCAGTGTCCGACTACCATTTGTTTTGGGTGTACAAATACGTGTACCTACTGGCGTGAGGCCAGTCCACCTTACAAACACGAATGGTCTATCTTCCTCAGCATTTTGGTGTACAATTTAAAACAAACCTATTATATTTTGTGGTTTATAAAAAACAATAAAGAAAAATCTTATAATGTCTCATTTTTACAAGCATTTTAACTCGTCGAGTACCGTCATTATAGAACAATAGGTTGCGGTCACCGGTGACCGCTTGGTGTTTGACAGTTTAATTGGAAAACTGAACAAATAACAACTCGTGCACCTTCCAAGCCTAAATACTTACTAGCCGTGCAGTTAAATCTATTAGATTCACTGTCAGAGATCATCTTCTTGTAGAATACGTAGCACCGAGTTGTCTAGCCGATATTTAAACCTGGCCATAGAGATTTACTTCAGCCATATTCTCTCACATCCATAATTTCACAGGATGCGCTACTACACCCAAAGTGTATGTACTCAAGAGCAAATTACACTCATAAACAAAATAATTCATAATACGGCCCGTGTATACGAGCAAAATGCACCAAATGCACTAGTTCTAAGCATACGTAGTTACTCGTAATACAACGAAACGAGGCTGCAGACTTTACTTCTCAAATTGTTCTGAACAAAAAACCTCTCATTAGTTCTAAAAGCAGCTTTATAGTAATCCCATTTGACGGACGACGTCACATGAATATGTTGAACTTTTTAATTCGTCCAATCTACGAATGCATTCATCCGAAAATGCACTTGGATAAACTGAACGGCACCGATACCCGTCGATTGGTCCGAAACTGGATTTTCCCGGTTCAAACCAGACGGTCCTAGATCCATCTAGTTTTCGCCAGTAAAATTTTAAGGAGGGTATTTGTCATGATTTATTTTATTTCAAGTTTGGAGTTTACGGTTTGAAGTTAAATTAAATTTTGGTACAAATACGCGGAAGTATTGATTGGAAAATATATTAAGGTTCTAAAAATGTATGGCTTATTTAAATTTTTTTGGATAAATCGATGTCAAGTAAAGTGTAACTCGTGGTAACGTTCAGTTATTTACGATTTAAGGTTTCTAGATTTTTTTTATTATTGAAATTAATAGAAAACGTACGAGCTCAATGAAAAAGTGAAATAATATTTTTAAACTATAAAAAAAAACAATCAAAATTAAAAAAAAAATCTATAAAACCTACTCACAAAAATAAACTGGAAAATAAACTCACTTTATTTTCCCACACTGTTTCACCCAAACAATTTTACGACTACAAACATATATATATAAAAAAAAAACAAAGAAAGAATCAACACGTTCCCACACAGGTCAGCAAGAAAATTCTCAACATTAGGTAAAATGTCATAAAATACCGTCGAAGAAGGTCGATACAATAAAACATTCGATCTGAGAACTTCAAACAATAGATATTTATGTCTCGACGTTTGTCTGGAGATTTAGATTAGGAATACTTCCATCTATACCTTGGATATGGCTTGGATTCGGCGGCGGTCGTAAAAGTCTAATTCACTCACGAGCAGTCTTCGTGCGGATATTAAGTGTCAGTCCATGATAGGAGCGGTAGCGATTGTGTTATTGGATATTGAGTTCTGTTGTGGAGACGTTAATGCCTTTTATTCCTAGTCAAATAGAGCATTAGTTTTGTAATGTTTGATGAAGATTTTTTTTAACAAACATGCATAGCCTCACTCCTCACGCCTGTCTCCCATGCGGGTGAGCAGAGGCTATGGAACGCCAAAGTTTTTAAAGTTTGGTAAACAAATAATGTAGGAAGAATGTCTCATTACGTCATGTATTTGTTTAGTTTTAGTGATAGGCAGTGTGGTGTGTTTCGTTTGTTTTGTTAGGCTTAAAATAGGGTTACTTCAAACGTAGTTCATGTTATACATAAATTACTTATAACTTGAGCAACAATTTTCTCTTTTTCCTTCAGGAGCACAATCATAAAATCTTTGATAGTAAATCGCTTACCGCTCATTCCTGTACCACAACACGTCGAGTCCGGATATCCCTCCGAAAAACCCACTACAGAGCCGGTTATTGGCTCGAATGGTCTCGCAAAAATACGATTCGCCAATATGGCCACCGATTTAGATCTGAATGTCTATTCTGTAGGCCTGGCCGCGGCCCGGATATTTGATTGAGGCCACCAAGGCCGGCAGCCGATGATGAATTGGTGATGGCAATGATACCTTCATTGTTGAAACTTCTAACATCCAATATTTGCATGTATAGTGGTTATATCAAAGTAGTTTATTGCATAACTACAGACCAAACTTACAATTGATAGTTGACTGAAAGTGTGATTATCATTAAATTAGTATATTTTTATTTGTGTGTGTATTAAATTCTCGGTTAAATGAAGTAAATCTCAAGAAGCAATATACAATAATTAGTATTTAGTGTAAATAATTGTGATTTTGATATTCCAATAAAGTAATTCGCTTCCTAAGCTACATAATCCAACGCTCCACTGTCGCAAAGAAGACCCTATATTTTATCTTAAGGAAGACATTAAAGTCACTTGAGACCACTAAGTTACTTAATAGAGCTCTTTAAACTAGTAAGCACTTACAAAAAGACTGGTACACAAGAGATATTTTCCAAAGAAACCTTCGGGAGGAGACAGAATTACATTTAAATTATGTTCATGAAAATCATAAATGTTGCTAAAAATTCCACATATAAGCAGTAAATATAAGTTGGAATATTCTGGAAATCCGGCTAGGGAGTCGTTTTTATTTGCCGTAAATAAAAATGGTAGCAACAAGCAAAGCGTTAGTACACCGACGGCAAGTGATCGCTACGCCACGCGAGTCGCCACGTACGGCGCGCAAGGAATGCTGAATAATACATTTTGCACAACTGTGACCGTTGAGTGGGGCTATCTAGAGATTACGGCAGAAGAGGTAGCGGAAGCGACTATACAATTGCTAGACTTTTACGTTTTTTTTTAAGGGGGGAAAATCATCGAATGACTGCTCCCGCCTGAGTGAGGCGGGAGGGAGTGTCAGACTCTTACTGACTAAAAACCACCCCGTTCCTTCTCCTGCACATCGAGTCAGAGCCCCGGTTTCCCGCTAGGTTCTCCGCGACAAGACGTTTATGTTAATGTCACTGCTTACCTGTAATATTGGAAGTAGAATAATGTTTTAAAATGAATAAAAACATGTGAATAGTTATTAGACAATTGAAAGCAATAACGCAAAGTCAAACTAACCACTTACCTATTAAAATTAATCGACAATAAATTTTAAATTCGTGTTTAGTTAAAGAGTGTTTTTTTTAGTGTAATCCATGCTACAGAAATGAAATTTATTTGTAGTTATCTTTCCAAATCAATTAAAATTCTTCCTACTCGCTTCAGTTTATGATTTAGGTCGCAAATGTGCACAGAGAGGCTTTTCTAGTAAACGAAGTTAGTTCAGGTGCCAATTCTAGGTCGAGCTTGGTTAGGCTTGTTTTACTACGTCGTGCAATGCTTTTTCAAAGATCACTAACGAAATTTTCAGATATGAAAACGAAGCTAACCTTATTTATTATAAGATTTCTGAAGAATATATTTTATAAGTGAATTTATAGGGTTTATGTATTACTATACTTATTTTACGGATAAATAGGAATGTATTTTCTGTTTATAAACCAAGGAATATCTATAGTTTTAGTTAGAGATGAATAACTTAAGGATGCGTCCACATCCGAATGTACCGCTCGCGAGTAGTTCGCAAGCAGTTTGCGAGCTACGCGCGTGTATTCACGGCAATGGTTTGATGCTCAATTCATACAAGGTTCGCATAAATAATAACTTTAAATGCACATGCGTAGCTCGCGGGTGACTCGCGAGGTGCGCATTTGTCAGGTGTGGACGCATCTTAGAATTCAACAGAATTAGCGGAGAACCTAACGGGTAACCGGGGCTCCGACTTGACGTGCAGGAGAAGGAACGGGGTGGTTTTTAGTCAGTAAGAGTCTGACTCTCCCTCCCACCTCACCCAGGCGGGAGCAGTCATTCGATGATTTTCCCCCCTTAAAAAAAAAAAGACTTCGACAGAAAACTGTTGATGGCAAATCGTCATCTAACGCTGATCAAGAGTGGTCACTTTAACAGTGAACTTGTTAACTTTAGGTTTCTCTATTTTTTACCACATTGGTATCATAATGTCTAAGAACTAATGATTTTTATTCCGGGACGTGACTATTATCAGTGACGTAAGTTTTATTACGTACAATCAGTGCATAAAATACTCATTCTCATAATTGGTAAAATCAAATCATCAATGAATAATGAACAATATAACTTCTACCATAAGCTTTGAAATGGAAAAACAGTTCCGGATTTTCCTTAAAAACTCTATAAAGAAAAACATGCAGACTTTTATTATTGATAATGGGGTGCTTTGCGTTCAAGACACACATTTTCGTGAACATTATGGATATCATTATGGGAGTAATTTTCTTCCGGCCGATCTCCAAGAAAGAAAAACAGAAAATTAGGTGTTGGTGGTAGCCATAAAAGTTAATCAAATGTAAAGATTGTTAAGGCTGGTAATCATTAGGATAGGGGCCCTCTTAATCTTATTGTGAGACTCTTACTATTGTTTTGGTTTATGTTAATAATAATAACTAACTGAGAGTAGTGACTGTTTACCATGATTTTGATCATCTGAAGTGATATATCGTTTTGTGGTTTTTATTTCATAACTTAATTAATTATCAATTTAGTTATTTAACAAACGAAAATAAAAAAGTTTAGACTCAACAAAATGCTGACCAGTAATATTTTGAGTTATTGATTTTTTTCTAATAATTGATTATTTTTGTTCACAGTGTATCTACGGATGCTATGTCCACTCTGCCATCTTACCCACATTCCATCGGAGGTGTTACTGGCTTCTACAGGTGAGAACTCATATTTTTTATAGAAAGAAATAAAGAAAATCCATTTTACGGTTGGTGTGGTGGCTGGTGATTAAATATCCTATGTTTCTTTGCAAATTATGATGAAGGGCTTGTCTTGACTTAGTCGCTTGAAATTGCGCGACGCGCTTGCAGGTTCAAAATTGAAACTAATCGAGAAATTTATTATTGAATTTTATTTATTTCACGGTCTTTTATAGATTTTTTATTTTAATATATATGACGATATTAGTTTTTTTTAAAAAGAGACGATTGATAATACATTATTTTTAATTGGCAATCACATTATTAAACGCAATCTATAATTAGTTAATGTTATAAGTTGATTGCTTCTCTCTCTAGACACAATCTCTCAATTTGGTTACGACACTCGCGGGAATAATTGGGATGGACCAATTGTAGATGAAACCACATACAGTTAATTAAATGATTATACATACATATAGCATAGTATAATTTATACGGACTATGGGTAGGTCTTAAGACCATTCTAGATTGCGATCTCAGTAAGGGCCGAAGTTAATCATCATCAGCAGTGGCCTCTTCTTACACAGAGAAGGTTTGAGCATTAATCAAACGCACCACATTCAAACTTATAATCAGCAATTACAATAAGCCCAGGTTCCCTCACAATGTTTTCCTTCACCGTTTGTCAGTGGCGTCTAAATTTTAGAAAGTACATATAACTCTGAAAAAGTCACATTGGTACTTTGCCGTTGGTAGGTTTAGCACCCGCCCCCTCGTGCATGAGCGGGCGTCGTAAGCCTCCGGGCCACCACGACAGAGTCATAGAAATTAATACCGATATCAATCTAAAATTTGTGCATTAAGATCTGGAAATATGCCCGGTATATGGTTAGGCTGATAGGCTTACCCCCTATTACATGGGACCCATAACATATGTATATGTAGAGGTATAGTGAAAAGTGGGTGTTACATTGTACAGTGGCATTAAGTGCTGTAATGTGCACCTCTACCTACCCCTTCGGGGATAAAAGGCGTGATGTTATGTATTAGATGTAGTAGATACAATTCTCCCTACTTTTTAACACGAATGTAACTTATAGACAATTTTGAAATCACAGTTTTCAGGTTAGTTCAAAAGAGAGGTCAAATAGACAAATAACTCAGAGTGAAATCTGTACCTCTCACAGAATTTCACCAAACAGAAAATACAAGGTAATCTTGTAGCTGAAAACATATTTCAGACCTCGGAATGCATTCAGCGGCTGAAATATAAGATTCTGAAATGCGCTTCTTTGATCCTATTGATGAAACCACGAATTGAGAGTTTCGAGACCAAGTTTCAATATTTGTGAAATATTTTCAGCCGTTTCAGTATTAATGGGGTCTCTTCAAGTTATGAAAGGGCGAACCTTCAGGGTTACGAACTTGCTAAGATATTACAAGTTTTGTTTGCCTTTGCTTTGACTAGTGAGTTGGTTTTAAGTTATTTTGTTTTACTTTGTGAATGGTTCAGTAAATAATTGTAGTTATTAAAGTTTTACCTTACATTTTTAAGTATTAAGATATTCTACTTGTGGTAAAGTTTTTCAATGTGTTTAATGTTATTATTATAGTAAAAGTGAGACTATAGAAACTTGGTCATACTTTTTTTGAGTGGGGAAAATCATCCAATGATTGCTGCCGCTTTGGGTTAGGCGAAAGGGAGTGTCGGGCTCTTACTGACTTAAAACCACTCCGTTCCTACTCCTGGTCTTCGAACCAGAGCCCCGTCAACCCGTAAAGTCTTTCGCAGCTCCGTATCGGGAATTAGCCGAATTACTAGGCGCCATCTGTAGTGGTATGGCTCTTTGAGGTGCGCGCGGAACACGACGTGCCGTACGTACGGGTCTGGTTCTGGTCGGGCGGCGAGCTACCCTTGCTCACCATCCCTAAACCCGCACTTACGGTGGCCGGAGATCGCCACGTGATCTCCGATGCCCGGAGTGTCTCCCACGACTGCTGGGGCGTAAAGAGGTTTGTTCTCTCACGCGCTCCGCCTCCTCTTTGGCTAGCATGAACAACAAATACGCCTAGTATCATTTGATCCTTATTTTCATGGAAACCCAAAAAATATTTACATGTAAAATATTGTTATTCAATCTACCGCACAACCTTTAATGTTAACTTGTTAGGTAGTTTTTACGTTATGTTTCCATCTAACAAAAATCTAGTCAATACCTATATTTCTTATGAACTCATAGTTAATTCTAGTCAAATAAAGCCTAGGGCTATACACGTAATGACGACAATTCTTGTTTCGTAAGACTGTTCTAAAAAAGTTAATTAGTATCTTCGGGCGTTTTATACGTAGGTACGTAAAATATAAAGAAAACGAAATAGGAATAGACAAATAAAAGTAAATTTATAGAAGAGTTTCAATGAAAATGTAGATATAAATATCTTGTCTATTATTGATTATAAGTGTTGAAGAGCCATGCTCCGGCACGAATTGGTCGGCTCGACCGGAGTGATACCACGGCCGAGCAGAAAACCGACGTAAAACAACGCTTGCATTGTGTTTCGTCGTGTGAGTGAGGTTACCGGAGGCCCAATAACCCCACCTCCTTCCCCAATACCTGAATCCCCAACGATCCTCAAACTCCTAATCCCCAAAAGGCCGGTAACGCACTTGAAACGCCTCTGGTGGTCCAAGTGTCGATGGGCGACGCCGATTGCTTACCATCAGGTGATCCGTCTACTCGTTTACCGGCTTATGCCATAAAAAAGGATAGTTATGGTATCAGTGGTTTTATTTAATATATGAATACATTGCGAGCTTTATTTATAAATACATAAGTATTTTTGCTTGACTGAGTATAAAAATCCTACTAATATTATAAATATGAAAGTTTGTATGTTTGTAAGTTAGTTACACCTTCATGTCAAAACGGCTGACGTGATCGAGATGAAATTTGGAACAGGGGTTGTTTATGGTCTGCAATAACACACCAACTAGGAACGAAGCCACTGGCAGAAGATAGTTTGACATAATCTTAACACACAAAAACCACACATTTACTATAAACACAAAATAGAGGTATAATGAGTATCAACGATTAAGCATTAACAAAACCACTGTAATATGAGCATACATTTAAACGTGCTAACTTTAAACGTTACCCTATACGTTTACGTTAGCAAGTTCGTATACAAACGCCGGCACTTCAAGCTATGCATAACCAGTATAAATTGACCATTGTACGTACGGAATGGTCATATAAAGCAGGACCATAGTTTAACTGGTTTTGTATATCTTTACATGCAACCGTGTATACTTCTCTAACAATGCGATTCAAACGTTATAGGAGCATTGTGAGTAACTTTAGCAATAGTAAAACAACTTGGAGCACCATTTATAGCATACGTTGGCTTTAATGTACCATAATTCAGATCCCAATGGATGTATTGTAACAATTTCATATTATTTATCTAGTTTCATATTGAATTGTAAGTGAAAACTTTTGTGTAATTCAATTTTTCGTTTTGTTTAAAGTTTTATTTCTGTTGGGACAGCGTTGAGTATGTGTTTTGTAGTTGAAGTTACATTTTTGTTTGAGGTAGAATTGATGGGGAATGGGTGATTCTATAACTAAAGTATAACCTCTGTCTAAAAAACCACTTAATTGACTTGGGGCCAATTTTTCAATCATCAGTTTATTCTTATCTGTAGAATAAAATTGACATTTGACAGTTTTTAGTATGGAAGACTTGTCAAATATTCAAAGTTATTAGTCAGTTACAATTTATCCGAGTATTGAAAAGGGCCCATCCCTTAGTTGATTGCACAATCAAATCCATCACGTATGTATAAGTCAATAAAGAACAGTTAATAAATCGGATCAAAAATGAGATATAGTACCTATCTGTCATCCAAATTCTGAAATCATAAACAACACTTAATTACCATTACGTATGAAATGCAAACAGTACGTCAGAATCGGACTCAGTGGTCGACGAAATGAAAATTTAATATTTGATCATCTTAATTCCATAACACGATCCTAAAGCGAATGTTCCCACCAAGCTATACATAACCAGTATAAATTGACCGTTGAATGTACGGCAAAATCATACAAAACAAGACCATGATATACTGGATATGTAGAGCTTGATGCCATTACAAGTGTTACTATTTCTACCCCTTGTTAATTGTTTTTAATTAATTTAATTATTTAACGAACCGTGATTTTAGAGGTAGTTTCCGTCTGATGATGTATAAGTGTTTGTTTTTGTTATAACTACAATTTATATGGATTTATTTAAGGGGGGAAAATCATCGAAAGACTGCCCCCGCCTGGGTGAGGCGGGAGGGAGTGTCAGACTCTTACTGACTAAAAACCACCCCGTTCCTTCTCCTGCACGTCGAGCCGGAGCCCCGGTTACCCGTTAGGTTCTCCGCGACACAATTTATATGGATACGGTTAGGTTCTTTGTTGAGGATTCATAAGTAGCGCAATCGAAAAAAGTTTAAGGTCATAATAGCAGCTACGTACGTACCAGATACAAATTTAAATATAGAACGTACCTAATTTGTGTGAACTATCTTACATATAAGTTAATCAGCTACTTAGTATATGAAATTTGTGAAACAGGCTCTTAGCATTACTAGAATAATAGTCCTTCTTGAACACGTCAACAAAAACTAATAATAGTACACTCTAACAAAAACTAGACCTTGATTAAAACCTCATTCATCATTTTAACGTTACTTCAATGCTAAGTATCTAAAGAAATTTTTTCAAGACTTTTTCAATATCAGCAAGTTGAACCATTAGACTATACAGCGTAGAATCATTAACGTAATCTATAAAGGCGTCAGACGATGCTTGGGACCTCTCAAATTAATTGCTGGTCCTTTGTCTGACAATCCGAGGTGGGTGACACGCTCTAATGAACGCATTGGACCTTTAAAACTAATCCGCGTACTGACTGACGATTACAAATTGACATTTTGTAAAATGCCATCAAAGCCGCAT